GGCGTCGTGGCAGCTATAGTTCCCTGGAACTTTCCCTTGGCAATCGCTGCCTGTAGGATCTCCTAGGAGAACTATGACTTACAGCAGGAGACCATACTTCGATGCTAGGTCACGCAGCGATCTCCCTGGCGTTTGGTAATGCTGTTATTATAAAGCCGTCTCCCCACACGCCGCTGACGGCTCTACGTCTGGGGGAGCTCTTCATGGGCATCGTACCTCCTGGTCTCATCCAAGTATTCACTGGACCCGACACTCCGGTGAGGGTCCATTCTGGCCGAGGATGATCGCTTATCGTGTTGCTAACTTTAGGGAGATTTTAATGTTGGTAGCTATCTAGTTCAACACCCCGGTATCCGCAAAGTCTCATTCACGGGCAGCGTTGCGACTGGTAGGTAGTAGCAGATTGCAGCGGAGCGTATCGCGCTTCATCGTTACATATCGATCAGTAGAGGGCTCGACAAGATCCTGTTCATCTCAGGCAAACGTGTTTTGGCTAACACTATTGCCGATCTGACGAGGTGCACTCTCGAACTTGGTGGAAACGACCCTGCGATAGTTCTACCTGACGCCTCTGTGCCACAAGTTGTCCCCCATATCTTGCGGGCGGCATTCATGAATTCGGGCCAGGTGCGGTACGCTAGTGGTATCACCCGGTACTTGTGATGATCGGAATTCGTCTTCAGGTCTGCTCTGCCGTTAAACGCATTTATGTCCATGAAGCGATCTATGATGACTTCGTTACAGCTGCTTCTGAGGAAGTAGGGAAGCTGAGCAGCTTGGTGGGGGACGGTAGGGAGTCTAATGTCAAGTACGACCATGGCGATCGTATTAATGGCCGATCGAAGATGTCAATAACCTGTCAGGTACGGCCCATTGAACAATGAGATGCAATATAACCGAGTAAAGGAGCTGGTTGCTGATGCTGTGAAGCACGGAGGCGAGATCATCCACGGACAGCTGAGGGAGGGGTTACCGGAGAATGGGTAAGGCTGAATAGAACTCCGAAGTACCTGACACAGCGCAGATACTTCATGGCTCCGTCCATAGTAACTGGTATTACCGATGGAGTCCGGTTGGTGGACGAAGAACAGTTCGGACCGGTTGTACCCATAATGAAGTGAGTCACATGAAAAGACGACCGTTAGTTCTTAATCAGCTGTGATATGCAGATACGCTGACGAGGCGGAGGTAATCGCGCGGGCCAACGGCACACCTTACGGTCTGTCGGCGTCGGTGTGGGGATCAGACTGCGATGCGTTGAACAGAATAGCTACACAGATACTTGCCGGAGTTGTCAGCATAAATAGCCATGGATTGAGTAAGTTCCCGTCGAGGGT